TCTGCAAATCTACATACGTACTCAACTACTTGTCTCTATCTATTTCCTTGTCTATCTATCTATCTATCTATCTATCTATCTATCTATCTATCTATCTATCTATCTATTCAATCTATCTATCTATCTATCTATCTATCTATCTATCTATCTATCTATCTATCTATCTATCTCTATCTATCTATCTATCTATCTATCTATCTATCTATCTATCTATCTATCTATCCTATCTTTTTATCTATCTATCTATCTATCTATCTATCTATCTATCTATCTATCTATCTATCTATCTAGTATCTATCTATCTATCTATCTATCTATCTATCTATCTATCTATCTATCTATCTATCTATATTTTATCTATCTATCTATCTATCTATCTATCTATCTATCTATCTATCTATCTATCTATCTAGTATCTATCTATCTATCTATCTATCTATCTATCTATCTATCTATCTATCTATCTATCTAGTTAGCTAGCTACTGTCGATCTATTTTTTCATGCACGTGGACAAACCCAACAGAAATGCACGAACCACTTTTCAGATATAGCCAAACGCAAGGCTTGAAAACTGAATCTTTTCAGTGAGTTTGATGCCAGGTGCAGATGAAATACAGGTTGATGACGACCGTTTCAGGTTTGATACTGGGGGATAATTCCAATGTGGTGGCAGACATAAACGTTTCTATTTGCCATTGAAAAAATAATATTATGTTTCTACATTCGAAAATTCTGGTTTACTCCAGCATAGAGATAAATTTGTTCGGTAATTTGTACTCCATAATTAGGTGTTTTTTCTTATTTGAATTCACCAGTAACGAAACCCAGTCTGTGTTTGAACGTGGGATGGCGCGTTGAGAACCGAACTCGTCGTGTCCTGGGCCACCTTGTTAATAGTCAACAGTATTGATTATTATCTAGCCTGAACGAGAAAAAAGCTAAGGAGTGAGGGTTGATAAACCGCATACGGTACACGATGATTGCAAAATGCAAGAAATTTAATAAAATGTAGTGTTTGTTACCTTAATTATTTACCTTGCTTACTGAACTAGGCGAATTCCTTCAAACTCAGATAACTGTTTGCTTCTGAGGATTACGTCTCCTTTGATGCATCCTCTTTCGTTCATCAACAGACTCGGCTCCTGGAACGCTTTGGTGAAGCGGCATCGCCGTTTCGATTCAAGCTTCCACACGATATCCCAGTCTCAATCTCAATCCAGGCAGAACAGGGTGCGCTACCGGAAGATCAGCCCCGTGGAATCGAGTACATGTTACAGGTATAATTTACAATTTACCATTTCTAAATTCTCACGAAAAATGCAAGTAGATCGATGTGTGATTGTAATCGTATAAGCTCAAATAGGATTACACAGATCTTAGGATGACTGAAAAGCTTAAGGGTTTTATATTGATTTACCAAGAATAGGAACATATGAATGGCGGATGAACTTCAAAATGATGTTAGTGAATAACTGGGACAAGGCTTCCATATCTGTTTCAAAGCATTTTTATGCGTGCACTTCTGCGCTAACCGGTTAAATTTAGGGATACTCGGTCATGTTCACAGGCAGAACAGAGTGGAGATGACAATATCGAATAGTCGAACACACATTTGTGTGGCTTGAAAAACCAATGAGCGACAGATTCGCAGCGTTGAAACACTATTTACAATGAGTGATCTTGAGAAAATTCATTCAGAGGATGTGTAATGACTTGTGCACAGACTATTTAACGGCAGCTAGGCTATGATCTTAGATCGGGCAGACTGTTATTTCAGTTAATCAAACATTATTTCTTCAGTACATGGGGCTGTATCATGCGAAACGGGGGCCGGGTATGCGGAAGGACAGAAATAACGTTTAAGTAATTCAAGCAATTAGTTTACCCGATGTAGAACATATACCCCAAAAGTGTATTGCGCAACAGTAGACATACGGTCAAAATATCTATTCGCATAAAATATCTTAATTCCTCATGGTGACTAAACTGAAACTGGACAAAGAGGATTCAGATCTTTGTCTGCTCTTAATCTATTCGAAGCGCAATATTGCATCACTTCATGTCGGGTAATGTGAAACATAGAAATACTGTATATTACTAAAATGTATGGAACTTTGAGGGATTTGCAATCAAAAACTGAATGCACGTAAATAGCCTGAAAGGATTGCCACCTCAGTGGTTTCTTTGGTAATTGACCCCTACCCGTTTCATTTTATTAGTTGTATTGTTAGTTACAATTGGCAATCCCGCATTCATATTATTTTTCAATTTCACTGGTGATATAAAATCACCTAGATTACAGTATGTGGGGGAATAAGCCTGGGTACACAATGCAAGCCAATGATTGTGTTCCTTTTATTCACATCTGTGATGGGAAAACAATGACTTGAACTTATTGGAGGAGAACATTAGATGAAAACAAATCCAAACATCTTGATTGGTTCTTAAGGCTGCATTTTCCGCAACCGCTTACATAAAAAGGTCAGGAAACAAAAACGGTGACTGTACAAGAAATCAGTAAATCAGTGATACATTATAGAATTGAATGCAATGAATCCGTCACGTGCGGTATTCTCCGAACTGAAGTGGAATTACGCAGATGCGGTTAGTTGATGTGCCGAACAAACCATTGTTCTAATTGGCCGAGACGTTGTCTGGGACGCGTTTGTTCGGATAGACATGTGGATTGAGTAGGACAGTAGAAGCCATCTGTTTTTCTGAAAACTGGTAATGAGGACTGACCAATTAAATGTCTGATTTGAATAGGTATAGTAATTGTTTAGTCCTTTAAAGATAGTCAGCTTTAATTCCACAACAATTATACATTGAAAAGCATTACTCATGATGGATGAAGTTTTCATCTCATTTTTTGCTCATTTGAGATGTTTATCACATTATTTCGTCTATTTCATCAGAGCGGAAATTCCGCAAAGATGAAATGCATCACATGTGTTTTCTCATCTTCCATCCTTAGGTATTTATCGGTAATTCACCGACCTCACATGTCAGCAAACGAAATTCCATTTCCCTCGGTATTCGTCGTTTAACCTTAGCCACACCAGACCCCAGTGCCGGCCCGTATGTGCGTGAATTGGTTAAAGCGTTCCACTTTCACTCGGGTGAACTGCGTGTGAAAGCAGTTCTGCCCAAAGATATATTCTTTCACGGGGAATCGATTCCAATTGAATTACATGTGGACAATCCATCCAGCAATACAGTGAGACGTATTAAATTTCAGGTAAGTGAATAATAATGTGCATGAAGAGATTTGTTCTAAACAGCTCAATTCCGCCAGTAGCATGAGCATCCAAATGATTGTAGTGTTTAACAGATGTTTCCAATTGGATTCTGCATAATTCGAGACACGATCAGTTGTAAACCCGTTGTTCTGGTTTCCCGTCAGAAACTGGCACATTTTGAAGCAGCATCGCCTTTGTTCCACACCATGGAGGAATATCCGATTCGCTAACTGCACACGTGCTCGTTTGGTCGAATCGCACCGGGTTATTCACTCCAACAGGTGAGGTGCTATTGGATAAAGTATGTTGAAATGTGTGAGCGTGAAATTCTGCAAACCACGTGACTAATGCTTGTGTTGATTCAGTCAATCCGAAGGTCATGGAGTAGCATATTCAATTTCGCCTGTTCGCCGAGCTTGGCAATTGGTTTGCAAACGTTTCATCACCAGCCGAGGTGACATCATCAATGCTTGTGAAGTGGCCAGTGGAGTAGGGTATAGCCAGTGACAAGGCCTAACCGTCGATTATCAGTCTCACCCCGGCCGTTTAAATCCTTTGTATGAATGTGATTCGTTCTGTTAGCCCATAGAATGAGTACAGCTTTGAGCTACTAACGGTTGGTCAGACGATATGGAACCGATTAGTAATCGATCAGTTCACACAATTGTAATAATTGGGGTTAAATTTCACATAGATTTCGGGCGAAATATTCATTTTCTGACTAACTCAACTCCAGCAAAGGTCATTTGATGCACTTCATTCTAAGAGACCAGTTTTACACATTACAGGTTGAAGGTTCAAGATTTTCAACGAAAGTATTGTACAGAAGTTGCTTTGGAAAGACAATCCCGGGACAAACCGATAGTACACCATGAACAATAAAAAATACTGACGCAAAAAGTGGTTCCCAATATCTGTAAGTGTTAGTGTCTCAGCTTACAAAATACGACCGTAATTAAGCGGGTTGTCAATTACGTAAGTGAGAAGGATTTTCTTCCAATTAAGAGGGCAGTGATTGGTCTATGCTCGAGCGTACAAACCGGTCACTTCCTTCTACGCTTTCCGGACGTTCAATACTCTCGTGCTTCTTCAATGAACAACTGTAGGCGAACGCATGTGAGCTCTACAGTAGCATAGGGGTCAGTTCAGCGATCGGCTGGTTGTAGTTCTTGTGGTAAGAGTTGGTAATTGAGCCATGGTAGATATCCGAGCGACAATTATGAGCTTTGCCTTGGCTGTAGCGCACAGTAAGCACGGAGTCACCATTTGGGTTTGTCGGTTTGGACTTTGCTCAGCTGTCTGGTACCGAGATCACAAGGCCTAACCGATTCATCGAATTGGTGGCCGTTCGCGAGCACTATTCAATCCAAGATTGGAGTCAGTCTTCAGTATTGAGGGCAGAGGGCAGGGTGCCCGCGTAAGCCCCATCATCGCTGAGTCGAAGATCCGATCACAAGTGTTCGTTCCTCCATAGCCCCTTCGAGTGCTCATCCAGATGCCGTTTGAAAGCAGCGTCTGTCTTCTCTTCCACCACAATCGCTGGAAGGGAATTCCAGATTGTTGTTGACCTCCACGGGAGTCGGTAGACTAACGAAAGACCAACTGACTGAAGTTTCCGCAACGTGAGAGTGCCCCCGCGTGCGGTCCTCAGCCCGTAAAGGGAAGTACTGTTGCAGCTCGGGGCCTATATCACCTCTCAGGATCTTCCTCAGACAGATGAGATCTCCCCTGAGGCGCCGATACGCAACTGAGAACTGACCAGTAGTCTGTAAACGACCTTCGTAGCTGGTCCCACGTAGTCGAACAACGAGTCTAGTGGCAGCATGTTATGCACGATCTAACTTGGCCAGTTCACCGGACTTGCAGGGGTATTTCACCGCACCACCATACTGAAGTCTTGGTCTGACATGGGAAGCGTACAACAGACTGAAAGCGTCCATCGTGAGCTGGTTAAAAGACCACCTAATAGGCTCCAGAATGCTCCACGCGCTAGCACAGACCCGATCGGTGTTTTCTCTGATCTTTAGTGG